GCATGGGGTGTTATGAGGGTGACGGAACAATATTTGTGATTCACAGGTGACTTTGTAGAATAGAAGTATATAAAAATTATGTTGGCTGGGAATACCTCACAGGGGAGATTATAGTATTTGTGTTTTTCTTCCTCTTAACTGTGGAGTCTGTTCTACAATAAGCTTGCCATGACTAAATCAGCTAGGGTCACTCCAGGTGAATTGAGTTGGCACCAAATAATCACAGAGTCAGAGAATATACCTTTTTCTTGGGGTTCAGCAATGGCTCTCCAGTCCCGGCTCCCACAAGGGAAGCAAAAGAGGCAGGAAAAAAAGAGAGAGAGAGCATGCCTGCAGCCCTATTTATTGAGGGGAAGTTCCACCCAAGGAGGCAGGGATTGGGTATCAGGGGGGTGAAGCCCACTCCCAGAGTTACAATTCCCCTGCAGAGTGAAGATGGGTCCACCTGCGCCTGGCACCTCCGTTGCTCAAGGCTAAGGGTCATGCTGATCTCCTTGTGCCCAACCCCTATTTATGGCAGCCCAGCAATGCCCTGGTTTTTAAAGTAACAAAAATTATTTTCAACTTTTAAATATCATTTTTGCAGCTGGAGTGTAACTCAGTGGTGAAGTGCTAGCCTGCCATGTACAAAGCCCTGGGTTCCATCTCCAGCAACAACAGAAGAAAAAAAGATGGAGAAGGGAGGAGGAGAAAATGTTTTAAAATCTCATTGTTGAGTATTTGTGGTCTTGCAAAAATATTCATGATCTATTGTAAGAGAAAAAACAATTTATGAAATAACATGCAGAATAATTTTAATTCTATTAAAAAATACAGATTTAAACCATAAAAAAATATTTAATGTACAGATACACACAACCACAAATAGAAAAAACAAATAATTTACAATGTTTGAGTTACATCTAATTTTTATTTCCTCTCATATTTCCTAAAATTTTAATTGACTCTAATTACCTATAATGCCAGGGGTAAAAGTGTGTTTTTGTTTTGTTTTTTTGAGAAATAGCATGGACCTTAATAGGTAAAACATAGATTTCAATCTGACCCAGGGGGAGGAAAGGGTGGGTCACAGGTTAAAAGGTGGACGAGAACCTGAGGCGCACCTGGCGGTCTGTATCTTCTCTGCACTACAGGATGAAAGGTGGACAGGGGTTTAAGCTTTGAAATGATTGTGGAGACTAAGAAAGAAAGGTTAAAAAGTACACGTGAGGCGCAGGCTGAAGCTGCCCGTGTGCAAGAGCTAATTTCAGAGTGTGAGCTGGGAGCCTGGGCCCTCAGAGCTCAGCAGCACCGCCCTGGAAGTGAGCTGCTTATCTGAGACTGCTGCGCGGCTGGCAAGGACGTCCCCCATGGCAGAGCTGGAGGGCTGTACACTGAACATCCACAGTGGCATCTCTGTTTCCTTGGCTTTTTAAGAACTGACAGGACTTACAGAGCCTGGGCCCTGTTTGTCCCTGTTGCCATGCTTTTGGGAGGTAGTGGAACTTTGGAGGTAGGGCCTGGCAGCAGGCTTTTAGGTCTTTGGTGGGGGGTGCCCTTGGAGGAACTGTGGGACCCCGCCCCTTCTCCTTTGTCTCTTTCATTTCCCAGCCTTAAGGTGAGCAGTTTTGTTTCGCCACCAAAAGCTCCCAACACATGGAGCTGCTGTCCCCAAAGCAACAGCAAACTGACCATCAACTGAAGCTTCTAAAAACTATGAGTCAAAATAAACCTTTTCTCTTTACAAGTTTGTTATTTGGGGGTATTGGTTAGAGTAATGGAAAGCTGACTAGCTCAGTGGTATTGTTTGTTGAAGATGAAATTATTAAGAATACAAACAACTCAAGCAAATATGCGAAAGTAAATTCTCCTCCCAAAACGTATCCCCCAGAGATAAACACCTGCTGACATTACGGCCGGCATTTTTTTCTCTGGATACACACAACAGTTGGCAGGTATGGCATTACCTCTTCTATAGATCAGAGTGTGAATAGTCCTGACTCTTAATGCTCTTTTGCAATTTGCTCACATTTACATTAGGAAGAGCTCTCTTAAGTTCTCCAAGCCACCAAATTGTCTAAGAATCTCAAAGACATCTTAAGAGCATACATTTTGTTCTCAATGTCAGAAATCCTGGGAACTGGAAAATGTTAGTAATCTAATTTATGCTGTTTGTTTTGTTGTGGGGGGAAGTCACTGTCAGTGACGGGGCCTTCCTGGCTCATCAGTGTGACAGGATTGTATGAAGCAGCTCCCGCCCTCTGTTCTCCCAGCCCTGCCTGCCCTGCTGCAGTTCTCAGCATGGGCTCCAGTGTTGGAGTCCTCTCTGGCCAGGCCCACGCTTGGCCAAGGATGGCGATTGTGCTGGGTGCTTGCATCTGAACAGGGAGGGGCCACCTGTCAAGTTCAGCTCAGTCCTCTGTGCTCTATCAGGGGCTTCAGCTGAGCTCAAGTTACCAACATCTTCCCAAGGTAATTATATTTTAGGGCTCTGCATAGTGTAATCGGGCTGTCCTGAAAAGACAGCATCAACTGGGTGGTTCAAACAACAGAGGCTTATTTTCTCTCAGGGTTTGGGGCTACAAGTCCAAGACCACGTGTGTTAGTCAGCTTCTCACCACTGTGACCGAAATACCTGAGAACAACCTAGAGAAGGAAAGACTCGATTTGACTCGTGGTTCCAGAGTTTCAGTCCATGGTGCAAGGGAAGGGCGCAGGAAAGCTGCCCAGCTCTTGGCATCCAAGAAACAGAGGTGAGAACAAAAGAGGCTGTGGAGAACCTAAACCCTCTGGGGGTATACCCCCCGGCCCCACCGCGACGTACCGCCTCCAGTAAGTTCCACCTCCCAGCAGGCCTCCAGCTCACACTGATGAGGTCAGAGCCCCCAGGATTCCATCGGTGCCTAAAGGCCCACCTCGGACCTTGCTGCGTTGGGCCCCCTGCTCCCAGCACAGGAGACCTGGAGGAAGTTCCAGGCCCAAACCATAACAAGTTTCCAGCTGTAGGGGAAATGTCTTCCCCTAGTGGGTTTATGGCTGAGGCTCCTCTAACACAAGACAGATCAACAAGCTAGAGACATACAGAATGATTTAACATGTTTCCCATGACACAGGAGCCTTCAGACACGGAAACTCCCAAAACAGAGACAGCCATGCACATGAGTGATTGGACAAGGGGGGTGCGAGCGGAGGGTAATAAATTGGGCCCCCAAGCAAGGCCAATTTATTCGGAGATTTTGTTGTTGTGTCTTTAGAATAGAACTTTCCTTTGATCAGGTCTAGGGAAGGTGCTTCTCCGGTGAGGGTCTTCTAACCTGCTTCAGGGAGGGTGAGGGTGAGGGGAGGTGTGAGCTCCTTGATTTTGTGCTCTGAAGTGCCGTGGTACTATATTCTGCTGTCCTGAGCCCATCAAGCAGATCTAACGTTGGTCAAGAGGTCTCTTCCTGACTGGCGTTCACAGTCTTTCCTGGTGCATGTTCTTGGAGAGAGCGTGAGTTCTCCAATGTCTCTTCTTATGAGGACACTAATCCTATTAGATCAGGGCTTCACCCTTACAATTACATTTAACTTTAATTAACTTTCCTACTCCAGATACATCCACAGTGTGGATTATGGCTTCCACATATGCCTTTGGGGTGGGACATTCCTTCCCCACTAATTTTATACCCAACTCTTTCCCCTACTGTACCATCACATCAACTGTACGGCTACTTCTTATCTACATATGTCGTATATATCTTCTAAATTAAAAAGAAAAGTGCTTTCATAAAGCAGACAACATGCATTACTTACTTCTATCCAGCAGTGTGTTACAGCCAGTGCATGCCTACTTATAAGAGACATTGTTAGGCCAGGCGCAGTGGCACACACCTGTAATCCCAATGGCTGGGGACACTGAGGCACGAGGACTGCAAGTTCAAAGCCAGCCTCAGCAATTTAGGGAGGAGCTAGGCAACTCAGTAAGACCCTGTCTCTAAAAAAAGGGCCAGGGATGTGGTTCAGTGGTTCATTTCCCCTGAGTTCAATTCCCAGTACCAAAAAAAGAGACTTTATTATAATTTCAGGAATGTTGTGAGCTATTTGTTAAAAGAACCATGATTAATTAAATCCAGGGGGTGTAGCTCAGTGGTGGAGCGCTCGCCTGGCATGTGTGAGGCACTGGGTTCGATCCTCAGCACCACAAAAAATAAAATAAAGGTCCACCTACAACTAAAAAATACATATTAAAAATTTAAATCCAGGGGCTGGGGATGTGGCTCAAGCGGTAGCGCGCTCTCATGGCATGCGTGCGGCCCAGGTTCGATCCTCAGCACCACATACAAACAAAGATGTCGTGTCTGCCGAAAACTAAAAAATAAATATAAAAAAAAAAATTTAAAAAAAGAATAGGATTAAAAAAAATTTAAATCCAGTAATTGTACAATTTAAAAAAATATTTTTTAAAAATGTTAATAAATGATTAAAACCCATCAGTTCCTAATTAATGTATTTTACTATAATTTGTGCATTGGAGATCATTTCTGTCACATCTGTATGGTGGTGTGCTACTGCACAGTTTTGTGTTCAATAATGTCATGTTAGTAACTTGAGAGTATTTGCACTATGCAATCAGTACAGACTGCAAGTCAGCACCCCCACCCAGGAACTAGCACCTCACTCTGAATTTGTATCAGCAGCAGCTAGCGTGTTGGGGGCCTAGGCAGGTGGATGGATAGATGGATGGGTGAAGGATGGATGGATGGATGAATGGATGGATGGATGGACGAGTGGATGGATGGGTGGATGGTTGGCTGGGTGAGCAGACATGTGGATGGATAATAGAAAGGAATGATACAGGAAAGAGAAAGCAGCAGAGGCTTGGAGATGAGAACAACTGAAAAAAGGCGGACATTGCCAGGTGGGGCGCTCAGGTCTGCCTTTATCTTGAGCCTGCCGTCTCGACGTTCCGTTTCCTTCTCTTGTGGGTTTCTTGTGCTGCGTTCTTACACATTGTGCAAAAGAGTGCAATACAGTACAGAAAATGTGCTCATCCCATTGCTGACTTCTGCATTGCTTCATCACATTTCAAAAGAGGTGTGAATTGTAAATTCCGGTTCATTCCACTGAAGATACTGGTGTGGCAATGCCCAGTGCGCTGTACATATTTACCACACACCACCTAGTTACAACTGGGTCCGGCGGAAGGTAAGAGGGGTGGGGACCTTCTGTGGCAAGGTAGTCTTCACCACAAGTTCCGTTCTCACATGCCTCTGATTCCAGGGCATCTACAGAAAAGGGAACTAAGGGCGACGCCCACAGCTGACAGTGCTTGTGCTAGGAAGCAGTGAAAATGCTGCCCAGAAAATGCTGGACGCCACGACCGACCTCTCTCCTCTCACAGAGCGGTCCCGATGCTCCCTCGTATGCTCTTCACGGGCTCCAGTTTTTGATATGCCCATGAAGTGTCTCTGATACAGTTTTCTTTTAGTCCATAAAAAATAGGGTGGGACCAGAGAAAGAAAGAACAGAGCCTCAGATGGCGAGGCCAAGGAAGTGGAGAGAAAGTGGGGGAGAAACACTGTGAGCATGAGAGACACGCGTGGGAGTCGTCATTAAGCTACTTTCAAGGGGACCTTTCATGGAAGCCTTATCTGTGTCAATTCAATTTGAAGGCTCCTGATCCACAGGTCTGCAGATGACCCTGTGTAGAGACCCTCTTGGATTAGCTGATGAAATGCACATGAGAAAATATGCATGGCTTCCACATCCATGGAGTCAACCATTTAAAAATATTTAAAAATGTTTTTTAAAGATTGCCACTATACTGTACAGGCACAGAATTGTTCTTGTCACTATTCCCTAAACAATACGGCATGTAACTATATCCTATGTTCAGTGTGGGGCATTTACATTGTGCCGGGCATTGTGAGTGGACATGATGGGAATCATGCAGGAAGACAGGAGGGTTACAGACAGCTAACTTGCCATTTTATGGAAGAGACTGGAGTATCCGTGGATTTTGGTCTCCATGGGGATCTTGGAACCAGTTTCACATGGACATTGAGAGTGACTGACCACATGGAAGAAAACACAAGTCCTCCCAATTGCCCTGATTGTGCCCAGCGAAGGGAGGTTCTTCTGGCCCTTTTGTGCAGTGGGACAGATTTCAGTGTAAGACAAAGTAGTTTCCCCTCCACCCTGACACCTGTGGCCTGGTGTCCTCACTGCCCTGCCAGAGTCACCCCACTCCTTCAACCAGTGGACCTCCTGGAGCCTCTGACACCTAGAGAAGTCATTATTCATTTATTTGAAAAGTGTGCATGGAGCATTGATTGGCATCAGGCCTCAAGCTCATGTCTTGCTTGACCTTTGTCTTGGAGGATCTCATAGGTAGCAGGGCATCCTGGCTTCCTAGCTAAGGCCTGGACTGTGTCCCGTGGGAGTGCAGGGGCCAGCACAGGAGCGGTCTAAGAAGTCAGCACCAGAGAGCAGACCCATCTCACCCAGGCCCTCTCTCTGCCTGGTAGATGTGCTCTAACTGTGGGAGGGTGCAGGAAGCAGCCACTCCCAAAACCAAGAAGCAAACACCAAAACTAAACCTCACGAAGCCTTCAGGAGGTCGAAGGTCAAGTTCATTTCACTGCAGATTTGAGAGGCTTCTCCCACAACTGAGGTACCCAAAGCCTGAGGACCCGAATCCTGCAATGCAGCAGGAGGGCCTAGGGCCGGCCCGGCATCTCCTCTCACTCTCCAGGTTTCTTAAAGAACACACTCGCCTTTATTGGCATTAACACTGCCATCACAAAGAACTGGGAGTCTCCCGGAGTACAAGGGAAAGCAAGACCCACATTTTCCTAAGAGCAAAGACAGGATTGTTGGAGAAGAGGGAGGGAGGAAGAAAAGGGAAAGAATTTTGCTTGTGGCGCAGGCATTACTCACTTTCTCCCCTTACAGAGTTATCTGGTCCAAAAAAGAACCTACCAGGATTATTATCATCACAGAATACCCACAATCAATTCCAGCAGGTGACTTTTGAGTAAAGATTTTTTAAGATACAGTCCGATGAAAGAAACTACTAGGAGCTGTTCGGAGCATCTGGCACCCAGTTCAAGCTGGCCCTGGGGCACTTACTACTCCATAAATAACAAGCACCACACCCACCGCCACAGGAAGCTGCCTGCATCTGACAGTAGTCATATCTGGGTTGAGCAGTGCATGCAGAGCGGTGCACCTGCCCTCGGGACTGCCCCTGCCTCGCCCCTCAGGAGGCCTTTGTGAAAATACTGATGACTGCATACAACAATTCAGCCAGCATTCTACCACTCCTCCAGTGGTCACCTGCTCCAGGAACTGGCTGCTCCCCAGGGCTTCCCCTGAGGGAAAAGGAGCTGGACCCTCCCGAACACCTGCTCAGCAGTTTCCAATCTGCAGGGTGTTTTCCTTCACCGCAGGGTGGCTAGCAAGCCCCCCGCCCATCACCTCCACAGTCTCCGTGACACTGGAGGATGAGCAGTCGGCATCTGCCAAGTCTGCAGAGACAGTCCACTCTGCCTCGTTTTCTCCAAGTTTGCCTACTTGTCGCCAAGCCCCCAGAAAGCTGGCCCAACCAACAGTCCCCCAACCTGACCCTAAGAGTGTCCTGAAGAGCCAGGAGTCCCTTCCCATGCAGCAACTGATAGGGGTGTCTCGTGACTCTCCAGGCCCCACCGCTGAATTGCAAGGATTTGGGTTCTCAGCCCTCAGGGACCCTGGTTGTGGGAAATGTCTCAAGTCAATCTACAGTGAAAACGCCTTTGAACCCTTCCACCTCCCGATGGTTGGGCTTCCTGGTCTCTGGAGTTTACCTTCTGCTCCCTTCGCACTGGGAGCTGCGGGGTCTGTTCTTGCTCCCTGCTGGCCCCCACGTGTTCTCTGGTCTACACCCTTGTTTATGAGCCTGCTTCACTGCCTTCAGCTGTTTGTGGTCTCACAGAGGATGGGTGGCACTCCTCAGCCTGTTATCGCGGCAGATACAGTTCTGGGAAGAGAAAAAATAAGGTCTTGTTTTGAGGAGGTAAGTGGGAGAGACTGACATGGAGGTGCAGATAAAACGCACCGTAGGTTGTTTTCATGCCTCTCAACTGAAATCAGAGAATAGCCACAGAGGAGCAGGGCGCCCAGACCAGGGGAGGGGCCATCCGGCCTGGGAGGAGAGAGCCCTGGGCCCTGGCAAAGTCTCTCTGGGGCAGCCTGAGCTCACATTTAAAAGGGGGAAAGGTTTCTGAAATATGCAGAGTGGTTGATAGCTGTGATGCCCATTGCGCCCACCCCTGGGGACAGAGGGAAGAGGATGACAGGAGCTCAGCAGTCCAGCACTTAGAGCAGGCAGGGCCTCGGGCTTCTCTTCCCTCCTCCTGCCCTCCCCCTCCCCCCTTTTCTCCCTTCCCTCCTCCCTTCCTTTCCGCCCCGCCCCCTTCATCCCCAGCCTTCCTTCCACCTTCCCATTCTTCCTCCCCTCCCTCCCTCCTCCTCCCTTCCTTCCTCCTCCTCCTCCTCCTCCTATTCTTCAGCCGGCCTCTTCTCCGAGTTAGAAGGAAGAGGAAGCTGAATGTGGTAGCCCAGGCCTGAAATCCCATTGACCCAGGAGGCTGGGGCAAGAGGATCACAAGTTCAAGGCCAGCCTGGGCAACTTGAGGGAAAGCACAAGCAGGCTGGGGTGTAGCTCAGCAGAAGCAGCGTACCCTTGCAGCACAGGGAGGCGAGAAAGGAGCCTGCGGGTGGGACACCTTTCCCCATCTTGGCCGTGCCGTGCTGTGCCACCTTGGCTTTGGGGGGAGGCAGGTTTTGCTGCCCTGGTTCAAGGTGAGAAGCTAAGCAGAGGCCGGGACATGGAGAAGCCAGTCAGGGCCACGGGCTTCCTTCCCTCCTGAGCAGGACCTCCCATCTCCCAGTTGTAGGGCACGTGGTCTCTTTTTCACTGGGTTTTGTCTTCTCCTGTCCACTCCAGATTGCGATTCACATTCCAAAGCGAAAAGTTAGAGCAGAGCCTGGGTGGCGGCTGCCAGTGCACCAGGGAGGGGGGTGGGCTCTCCTCTGTCATCTCCTCCATCCAAATAGAGCCTGAAGCACTGGGGTCTTTCTGGATGCCTGAGGCAGGTTGGAGCTCACCGAGGGGAGCCACGCCCCAGGAGTGAGAGTTGGCATATAGTCAGGAGTCACGGGACCCTTCTGCCCAGCATCAGTGACACACACCCAGAACCCAAATTTCCAGGAGAGCCAAAATTTCAAATGGAGGAGAGTCTCTGGCTGCCCTGCCAGGGACCCTCTAAGAGAGCAGATGCCATCCGGAATGTTTTCTTCCCAAAGGGGAACCTGCCCTCCTGGAGCACTCCCCTACTCCACTGCTCCCGGTGATTTTTGAAGACCTCTTCCTCCAAATTCTGTTTTTGTCCCCACACGTCAGAAGTCATGAGACAAGGATGTGGAAGAGAAGCCACACGGGGAAGGGTTTTTCAAACACACAAACCAAAATCAGAACATAACAAGTCCCAGAGTCCAAATTCTTATCACTTCCCGGTGGAAAAACCTTCTGAAACCAAGAGAGGGACCATCGGGTGACTGGGTCCCCGTTCCCAAAGCAAGGCAGGTGGACTATCGCTGATTCAAAATGCCAAGGGTCACAAGTGTTTCGGATTTGGAAATATTTCACATTTGGGAATACTTACTTACACATAACTTCACATCCTGGGGATAGGACACAAATTACACACAAATTCATTCATGTTTCATTTATGCTTTATACATATGCCGGGGTGACTTTATGGAATGCTTTTCGTGCCGTGCATCCTGACTACAACCAATCATAGATGCAGGGGTAGAATTGTCCACTTGTGGCATCATGTCAAAGAGTTTTGGAGGATTTCAGATTTCAGGTTTTCAGACAAGGGATGTCCAACCTGTACACAAAGGGACAGAGCTAGCAGGCTCCCTTCTGCAGTGCCCGGCCTCTTGGCCCAGTGTCCTTGGGCTCCCCTGCCCCTGACTTTACTCAGTGGCCTAGGAGTCCTATGGGGGTCTCATTTGGCTCAGTGTGAGGCCTGTACCACTGATCTTTACCTGTTGAGTCAAAAGCCAGGTGCCTGTCACATATCTAGATGAGGTAATCATAAGTTCTAAGTTAGGAAGGGCATGATGAATAGGGTGGTATGTAGACATCAACAGTGGTCCATGAAATTTACGTTATTCCTTTCTCTTGTTGATTCTGTATTCTGACCTGTCTCCCACATAGAATTCTATCCTAATTGTTAAGTCAACTTCTCAGACAAATTAACCAAGTTTTGCCCAAACTTACCATAAGAGAACGATTCCGAGGCAGCCAGCAAAAATATTTTCTGTTGATGAGGCATTTACAAGAAATAAAAGATCAACACTAAAAGACAAGTTTTGTTTTGTTTTGTTTTAAAGAATTCCAGTTTTAGATCATTAGATTCAGTATAAGACTGAAAATCAGGCAGGTCGGGATAAATCAGTACTCCAGAAAGGCTTTAATATCGTTAAAACCCATTAGAAATAGACCAAGGGTACAGAATAGAGGACCCAGAGACTAACCCACAAAATTACAACTACCTTATGTTAGACAAAGGTGCCCAAAGCATTCACTGGAGAAAGGATAGAATCTTCAACAAATGGTGCTGGGAAAACTGGAAATCCATATGCAACAAGATGAAATTAAATCCCCATCTCTCACCATGCACAAAAGTTAACTCAAAATGGATCAACGATCGAGGGATTAAACCAGAGACTCTGTGTCTAATAGAAGAAAAAGTAGGCCCTAATCTCCATCACGTGGGGCTAGGCCCTAACTTCCTTAATAATATGCCTATAGCACAAGAATTAAAACCAAGAATCAACAAATGAGATGGATTCAAACTAAAAAGTTTTTTTTCTCAGCAAGAGAAATAATATGTGAGGTGAACAGGGAGCCTACATCCTGGGAACCCCTCACACATCAGATAGAGTTCTAATCTCTAAGGCATATAAAGAGTTCAACAAGATAATCACACACACACACACACACAAAAAAAAAAAAAAAAAAAAAAACCAGATAATCAATTAATAATGGGCCGAGGACCTGAACAGACACTTCTCTGAAGAGGATATACAATCAATCAACAAATATACGAAAAAGTACTCATCATCTCTAGCAATCAGAGAAATGCAGATTAAAACTACTCTAAGATACCATCTCACTCTTACTGAGTGGCAGCCATTATGAAGCAAACAACAACAAGTGCTGGCGAGGATGTGGGGAAAAGGCACACTCATATCATTGCTGGTGGGACTGCAAACTGGTGCAGCCAATCTGGAAAGCAGTATGGAGATTCCTTGGAAAACTTGAAATGGAAATACCATTTGACCCAACTATCCCACTCCTCAGTTTATACCCAAAGGACTTAAAAACAGCATAGTACAGGGACACAGCCACATCAATGTTTATAGCAGCACAATTCATGATAGCTAAATAGTGGAACCAATCTAGATGCCCTTCAATAGATGAATGCATAAAGATAGAATATTACTCAGCATTAAAAGATAATAAAATCATGGCATTTGCAGGTAAATGGATGGAGTTGAAGATTACCATGCCAAATGAAGTTAGCCAATCCAAAAAACCAAAGACCAAATGTTTTCTCTGATATGTTGATTGATGCTGATCCATAATGGGGGTGGGGGAGCATGGGAGGAATGGAGGAATTTTAGATAGGGCAAAGGGGAGAAAGGGGATGGGATAGGGTATGGGGGTAGGAAAGATGGTGGAACGAGATGGGTATCATTACCCTAAGTACATGTATAAAGACGTGAATGGTGTGACTCTACTTTGTGAACAACCAGAGACATGAAAAATTGTCCTCTATATGTGTACTATGAATTGAAATGCATTCTGCTGTCATGCATAACAATTTAGAATAAATACATTTTAAAAAATACATTCTACTATCATGTATAACTAGTAAGAACAAATTTTTAAAAAGAAGAAACCCATTAGAAAACAGATAGGAATATTTTAGGTATTCAATACATTTTACCAGGAACCCTAGATGCATGTCCGGAGGCCAACTAATGCATCCCATCAAAAAATTATCCTACAGCCCAAATTTGGGACAGTGTTTCCCCTCTCAATGGAAGGTAGTTCTATACTTAGAAGCTTTTTTTTTTAATAGTCTATCATATTTCTGTGAAAGAAAAAGATGTGTATTTTTCTTGTGACTAAATGGTTTTAAGTATTAAAATTTTTATACAGATAGTTATCATTATAAGAAAAAGTAAGGAACGCTAGAAATAACTGCCATTGGTAAACATAAGGGACATACAGATGCATTTTTGCTGATAACTCTTTCCCTCCATCTTACTTAAAAGACTACTTTGTAAAGCATGTGAGTCTGTGTGGACAGACATACAATAGGTAAGGGTGTAGCTTGTGGGATGGGAACAGCTCAGAGGACAGGGGAGCCCTGACCCAGGTTTCTATTTACTATTGAAATGCAGGCGGTATTAATCCAAATCTGGTGGTTATAATCCCCAGGACAATCACCAAGAAAATCAATTTTAGAATATAGCAAAAGAAAGGATAAGGAAATTAAAATTGTACACTAGAAAATATTCAACACAAATAATTGAATGACACTACCATAACAAAATTCCCTCCATTTTTATTTACTTATATATGTATATATGTATATATGTAAACTTGGCTGCTTAGCAAAGTAAAATAAAATATCAGAATATACATAACTAATCCCTGTCTCATTATAGAAAAAAATTAGTATTCATTCACAAAACTCATTTTCAGCCATTTTTCTTGAATTTCTGGATGCCTTTCCCAAAAAAACATTCTTGAATTTCTGGATGCCTTTCCAAAAAGTTGATACTGACCATTTCCCCAAGAATTTATTATTGCTTTTATGGAAAAGAGGATTTTCAAAAAGTCTTTACAACATCATTTTCTCTGATATACAACCTGATTAACTGACCTTTTTTCTCTATTATATACCATGATATATAGTCATAAAGAATTCCCATGATGAATCGTCATAAAGAAGATTTTTACTGATTTATTACTAACAACTCAACAAAGTCTTCCTTCAATACTTTGGAAAAAATTAGAAAGCCTGTGATTTGTGAAAGGATTAACTAGCAGGCATTCAATGATGTTTTCTAATGTCCCTGGTTTGGCACCCAGTGGTTTAATATGCCACAGAGCAAGCTCTAATTGTAGTAGTCATGATGGCTGAGATTTATGCTTTTCTATCAGAGTGGAAGTACTTCTTCCTGTTCATGGAGATGTCCTCTTGGGGGCACAGACCCCAGGGGTGATTCTTTTAAACTCTCCCCATGTCTCTTGCAGCCGTGGAGATAGGCTTCTTACTCCTGGT